CTTCTATCTCTAAGCCTAGATGTACTTACCTGCAAAATGGTGCCAATGCCTCACCTCACAGTGTTGATGGGATGAAGGAAGATAGTGCCTGGGAACCAAATGTGAGCTGCTAGTGTGTGTGTGTGCGCACGTGTGCACTGGCAGTGGCTGGCCGGCAAGAAAGCGTTCATTATCTATTCATTCATGCAGCCAGCATCACCTATGTACCGGGCATCATGCTATGCACTGGAAACGAAAAGATGAATGACAGCTTCCTCCTTGAAGAAACCACACTCTTCTGGCAGACACAGACAGACAAACAGACAGCCATGACAGGAGGGTGACAAGGGCTTTGCCGGGGCTATGTGGACGGTAGAGGAAAGCTAGCACTGTGTGTGTGTAGGGTCTGTGTGTAAAGAGGCTACAGGGAAGGCTTCCTGGAGGAGGTAAAGGACTGAAGAATGAAGTTCCAGGCTTCTTCCAAAAGCAGCAGCAAAGAACAGAGTGACTGACGCATTCCAGGAACTATACAGAGCATGACAGGAAAGTGGATGGACCTGGGGTTGCAGAGGTGGCCAGCATCCCGACCCTAAGGGACTTCAGAGCAAGTGACTCCAGAGGCAATTTCCCAGTGAAACAAAACTGGATGTAAGATGTAGTACATTAGCTGATTGTAATGCTGTGTATTTATAATATCACAGTCCCCTGGATTCCTCCCTCCCTCCAGGGCTAGTCTTTCACAAAATACAAACTCTGGGCATCTACTGGAGTCAGGATGCCCCACGAGGTGCAGTCACAGCAGGCTTACCGCGCAGGCAAGGGGAGGAGAGGACAGCAAAGCCAGGCACCAGAGGTGGAATGTGACGGGGTGAGGTGTGTCCTGAAAGAGGGTCAACAAGCAGGGGCCATCTGAAGAGCAGGTATGGGGGAAGGGCTGTAAGAGCTAGGGCTTAAAGGAAAAGTTATTTGGCAGCAAAAGCGAGATGTGAAAATGTGCCCTGGATGGGCAGGCTCCCACCTGGGGGAGATATTAGAGTTTAACAAAGCTAAGCATTTGCCCCCTTGCTACCTGCTTTGCAAAATGGTTGTGACAGTCATTGCAAGACAGGGACTTGCAAGGTGTGCTGGCCAGAGAAAGGAAGAAGTAACAGCTTCTCTAGACTGTTCTGGAACAAGCCTCTAGGGGTTCCATCTCTCATGCTAGAAGGGTTGCTATCCCCAGTGAAGGCCGGCTTCACTGGAAGGAAGACCACCCAAGTCCACTTTTTGGAAGAGTGCACTCAATAGTGAACCACAGGCCCAAACCTTAGAACTCTGAAGCCCAGTTTCCTCATCTATTAATGGGAATAATAATAACACTGACCTTACACAGCTGCTGGGAACACTAAAGCAGATGCCATGGTTAAAACTGAGGGGACTTAAGTCACATGGTTACTAAGAGTCCACAATTAGGAAGTCGCTGAGCTGGGGTTTGAACTCAGGAGGGTCTGCCTCCAAAGCAAGGCTCTTTCTGCCACAGCACCAGCCTCTCCCAGGAGCGAGTCCTCCATGGGGAAGGCTGCCTAGGCCTGTGGGGAGGTGGGGGGAAGGGCTGCTCTTGGCCCAGCGCCAGTTCTTCCCAGGGGCCTTTGTTATCAGAGCGTGGCAGGGACACAGATGGACAGCTGACGAAGAGACCCCTTTGCAAATCCAAACAAAAATGAAAAAGGAAGAGAAACTGCAATATATAGAATTTTAGAGCCATGTTAATTGATCTGATATTTGCAACACTGCTGGGCTTATTTGTGTCCATAAATGTGTAACTCACTGAACGGAGACCACCTGGTATTTTAAGGCTGCGAATCGGATAGCATTTGGGAACACCAGGAGGCACCATACGGTGCTTATGGTGTAAATGTCCACACGGCAAAATCTGTCTCATGTGGAAAAAATAAAGCATGTGAATTGCCGCGGCCCCCCTCCATGTGCTTGCACGTGCACTATCTGTTTATTTACACGATAGCTCACTTCACTGTAGCCTGGCTCCTGGGGATTCTTCTAGAGACACTGCCTTCCTTTCCTGCTGGAACTCCCTTTATGTCCATTAATGGACCTATTAATTGCCAATTCTAAATTAAAAATCTTTAATTATCAAAAGCAAAGACCATGTGTATACAGGTCACAACTTAGATCACTTATAGTCTAGCAAGTCCCAGACCACTTACCCAACTCTGTGCTTGACATCTCAACCACAGTACGTCCAATGCACCCAACCCTTACCTTATTATTGATTCAACTCTTCATATTGCATGACTCCCCACACTAGAATATAAGCTGCCTTAGTCACTGCTGGGTCCCCTGTGCCTAGTAGGATATACTGAGCTAGGAGTGGTAGCTCAGTAAATAGTGAATAAATGAGTTAATGAACACTTTGAGTCATAGTCCAAGCACTGTGAAGCCATGACATCCCTTGAGACTCAGCTTGGCTCCCTCTCTGAGGAAGCACATGCTGAGCCATCCCTCACCCACCACCCATGGTCCAGAAGAGGTGTGCTCTTCCCTGATCACTTGCTATGTTTTCAAAACGTCCCAAGCCTCCTGCTACTTCCCTTCCCATCACACTGGGCTATCTTTGCTGGCTTGCTGGTCTGTCCCTACATTGGATGGTGAGTTCTTTGATGGCAGAATTGTGTCTTATTCATCTTCGTATCCCCAGAGATAAAAGATGGGAGATTACTGGAGCAGGCATTACAATCAGAGCAACAGGAGGACAGGGCTAGCCGTCTTGGGAGCAGGAAAGACCTGAAAGGTTGCCGCCCCCAGGGCCAGAGTCTCAGGCAAGGCCCACTCTCAGGCCAGCCCAACTGATTCCTTGGGGGTCTGGTTACTGGGACGCTCTCAATGGCTGGCTGTGCTACTGGGGAGCAGCAGGTACCACCCCCAGCTCCCTGGGCACTCCAAGAAGTGAACCTGCTTATTCTGGGGGTGGGGTGGGGTGGGGTGGTGGTGGTGTCCTTTATTAAGCCCATACACGTGTTGAGCTAAGCCAAGGAAACCTCAGGGGACACAAACTGGGTGGTCTTCTCATCTACCAATGCATTCTGGAGCTCTGAGAAATGTATTTCACGATCTTCTATGGATAATTCCAAATGATGACTTTGGTAGAAACCATAGTGGAATATCAGGTCAGACATGACGTTAGGTTACTAGTCTCTTTTGGGAAATTGCACAAGTTTTCTCAATTACTCCCGGACTACAGGTACCATTAACAGTCTTCTGTGAGCAATGCCCTTCCATCAATGCTTTGATTCTCATGACAACACTGTCAGTTAGAAACGGCGCTACGTCTTTACAGTGGTGGAAATGAAGCACGGAGAAGTTAATTATCACAGAGCTAGTGGAGAGCAGAACCAAGATCGGACCTCAAGTCAGTCCAAAGTTCTCGCCATGGTTCTCAAGTACCTTCCACAGAAAGTGCACCTCATTATCAAACTCGGTAGAGACACTTTCATGGTATGTATTTTCTGTATCAAGCACTAGACTGGAATTGCAATCAGCTGTGTGCCCAGGTTCCTGCAAAAAAATAACTGTCCCTCTCCCTCCCATCCTAGCGTCACTGTGAAGCAGTGCCCAGCCTTGTTCCTGCCTGCCTACATCAACCGGCTCATTTCTAGCACCCCATAGGCCCCTCAGAGAGCCTGAGAAGGGCCCTGGGGGTTAAGGAGCACCGCACGTCCTTTACCGGGGAGCAGCTGTGACAGAAACTGAGCAGCGTTTGAGGATGCTGTGCTTCATTTGGCTCCCCTGTCGTCGTCCTCGCCTTTAAGAGCTGCTGCAAATATGGAGACAACCCAGGGCACTCCTTACTCTCATTCTGTGTCATTGTTTGTGGCTCACACTTTGTCAGAAAAGCTGCACTTTTTTTCTTTTACAAACGATAGTGAGAGCTTTGTTGCATTCTAAAGCGTGACTTCATTATTAAGACTGGTTGTTAACATTTCTCTCCAGAACACGTCTCTGTTCTTAAATAGAGGGGGATGGAAGGACAGGGCCAATCTAAATGGACTTTGGCCCAGCAATTCCACTCCTAGGTACATGCCCAAAAGAACCAAAAGCAGGAACTCAAACAGAAACTTGTGCACCAATGTTCATTGCAACACTTTTCACAATAGTCAAAACGTGGAAACAGCCCGTGTCCATGGACAGATGAATGGACAAACAAAACGTGGTCTATCCACGCAGTGAAATGGTTAATGGTGATGGTGGCACAACATGATGAACGTAATGACTGTCAGAGTTATCGGTGTAAACACTGTTGAATTGGCCAATGTTTTGTTGTATCTATTTTTACAATAAAACAATTAGGAAAAAAAAAAAAAAGAAATGCACTTTGCAGGTGGCTTTTTAGGAACGCCTCTATCAGGTAAAGGGAAGCGACTTCAAAAGCCCTTTCCTGCTTCAATGCGCTGTATTAACTGGTCTGGAAGATTTAGAAAGGGGTCCCTGGAATGTCTAACTTCCTCCTTCCCTCTTTCGCTTCCCTCCTTCTATACCCGTTGCTGTCGAGCTGATTCCTACTCACAGTGACCCTATAGGACAGAGTAGAACTGCTCCTTAGGGATTCCAAGGAGCGGCTGGTAGATTTGAACTGCTAACTTTTAGTGAGCAGCTGAACTCTAACGACTGTGCAACCAGGGCTCCTTCCTTCTATAGACATTGACATTTATTAGACGCCAGGGCCTATGGGAGCCACTGAGGCCTCTGCGGGGGAGAAGGTAAGCTTGCTGTCCCTTCAACAAATGCTTTTCATTAGGCAAAGTAAGTAATTTACTTCTCAGGAATAAGTCAAGCACGGGAGGAGGCAAGTCATACAAAACAGACGTTAACCTGCACAGGGTCACCAAGAGTTGGGGGCTGACTCGATAGCACCTAACATCAACAACAAATCGCCTAGAAGTCAGGTCTGACTGCCACCCCCTCCCCAACTCTCCGCCACCCCCCTCCATTATTCTGATGCCCAGGGGGGGCGAGGCCGCCTTTACCTCTCAGTTGCTGGAAGCAGGAGGCACTGCTGTCCGGCTCCAGGGGGTGCCTTAGGACCCCATTGCTGGGCTTGGGTCTCTCGTATTCTCTTTCGGGGAGCATGGCCTGCTCACTCTCCATGGCGGGGTCTGTGTGCGGGGGCAGGGACTGTGGAAACCCGAACATCAAGAGGGAGGAGAAGAAGAGTAAGGCACCACAGAGCAGAAAGCCACCCCACCAGGCTCCAATCCAGCGGGGGTCGTCCGGCGTGATGTCCAGGTTACCTGCACAGGGAAAGAGCAGAGCTTAATGGGAGGGGACGGGATTCTGCTGAGATCTGAGACAGGTGACAGGGAGGTGGCGCGGGGCTCTGGAAATGGCCTGGGGTGGGCAGCAGGACCAGGGTTAGGCTAGGAAGCCCACCATTCCCGGTCGGCACTTCTGCTTCTCCTGAAGTCGAAGACTAATCCCTACACTCCTTAATTTTCTTGTCTACCCTGTGCTGTATCAGTCTAAACAAAAACAGTGAGAAGCCAGCCATCCTCTGAGATGTTGGCAGGGATGAACTGGCTTGGCAGAGCTGCCAAGGTATACTAACAAAGGCACAAGGAAACAAAACTAGGATTGTCATTCAAGGGAGTATTTTTAATAGGTGTACTCCCTCCCAAGAGTCACTGGTGGTTCAGCGGTAGAATTCTTGCCTTCCGTGAGGGAGACCCGGGTTTGATTCTGGGCCAACACACCTCATGTGCAGCCACTACCCAGCTGTCAGTGGAGGCTTGTGTGCTGCTATGATGTTGAACAGGTTTCAGCAGACCTTCCAGACTAAGATGGACTAGGAAGAAAGGCGAGGCAATCTACTTCCGAAAATCAACCAAACCACTGAAAACCCTATGGATCACAACAGTCTGATCCACAACCAGTCTGACCACGGAGGTGGTGCAGGATCAGGCAGCGTTTTGCTCCATTGTGCGTGGGGTTGCCATGAGCTGGGGAAAAGTTAACAGCAGCTACCAACAACTTCCCACACCAAAAAAACAGCCTAGCTGAGATTGTATTCAACTCCCCACTCCGTGTCCAAAATCAGGTTCACGGTTCATAAGGGGTGGTGCAGTATGGAGGTGAACAGCCTGGCTTCCGGTGCTGACATCCTGGTTCTGCCCACTTCTATCTGTGTGACTTTAGGCAACTGGTCTAAACTCTCTATGCCTCAGTTGGAGCCCTGATGGTGCAGTGGTTAAGACCTACGGTTGCTAACCAAATGGCTGGCAGTTGAATCCACCAACCGCTCCTTGGAAACCCTATGGGGCAGCTCTGCTCTGTCCTGTAGGGTCCCTACGAATCGGAATTGACTTGACGGAAACGGGTTTGGTTTTTGGTTATCCCTCAGTTTACCGGTTTGTACAACATTTTGACGATGATGATAGTACTTACCTTATGGTTGTCAGGAAGATTAGATAAGTCACATGAGATATTTTTGTCTACAATAAGGGATTTTGTAGACAGAAGAAGTACTCAGAAGAGTGCTTGGCATGTGCTTGTCAGCTGTTACTGTTCATGCCTCGGGCCCTGTGTATCCCAGTTGCTGGTGGGTAGGTCCATCCAACCCTGCTGATGCCCTGTGGTCTGGGACCAGCCCTCCATTAAAATGTTTTGCAGCTCACTCATATGCTTAAAGAAGATATGCATGCGGTGTGGCCACCTCGTGCTGTTATTTCTTTGATTTGCCAGCTGAAGGCATGAGGTCATTAACTCCAGCTCTGCCCCTCCTCTCTCTCCAGCTGCCTTCCTTGCATAGCCACACGCCCAGACCAGCTGCTAGGACATGTCTCTTTGATGATAAACCCATGCCCGTAGAGCCTGGAAGGAGACCTTGGAGACACAGGCAATAGCATATCAGCCTGAGACAGGCAGTGCTGCAGGCCTGGACAGATGGATGGACAGACCTGGGATGCGTGAGGACCACGGACGTCAGATGAGCACTTCACCATTTATAAAATGCTCTCCTCAAAGATGCTTGCTTGATCTTCAGCTAATGTTAGTGATGATATTAGCCATCATTTACTGAGGGCGTACTCTGTACAAGGCAGGATGCAAAGTGCTTCCTTAACATAACTCTCCACAACCCTACAAAGTAGGGACTTTTATCTCTGTTTTATAGATGGGGATACTGAGGCAAGGTCAGGCTCAAGTTCACAGAGTTGAAGACTGGAACACAGGCATTCAGATGCCCAAGCCCATGCTTTGTACCACCCTGCTATACTGCCGTCTTGATAGCCTGGACTTTGTTTGGGCTCCCAGTAGGGCTCTGGGTGAATGGGCCTAAGAACACTGACCTCCGGTGGCTGGTGGCTGGCTTCTGGAACATCGGTAGTCTCTATCTTGGAGACTGTTGTGGATAGAATTGTGTCCCCTAAAAATACGATTTGAAGTCTTAATCCCTATACCTGTAAATATGACCCTGTTTGGAAATAGGGGTGTTCTTTTTGTTATGTGAATGAGGTTATACTAGAGAAGAGTGACTCCTAAACCTAATCACTTCTGAGTTACAAAAAGAGCAGAACAAACACAGAGAACACACAGGGGGAAGAGGAAGTGGGATGGCAGAGACAGAAGCATCTACAAACCCAGGAATGCCACGGACGGCTGGCAAGAACCAGAAGCTGAAATGGGCGAGGAAGGGCCTCCCCCTAGAGCCATGCCCTGACTTCTAGCCTCCTGAACTGTGAGACAATCAATTTCTGTTCTTTAAAGCCAAGCAGTTGTGGTATTTCTGTTATGGCACACTAGGTAACTAAGATAGAGACCTTGATATAAACCCAGCAGCAATAATAACCAGGCACTGTGACCGACCAGGATTTTTCACCCAGCTGCATGCTGAAGAGGAGGGAGAGTAAGCTTTGGAGGGCTTGGGGATCAATCCCAGATCTGCCATATACTAGCTTGAGATACTGAGCAAGTGACTTACCTTCCTTAAACCTTAGTTTCATCATTTACAAAAGAAAATGACATCCACCTAGAGTGGTTGTAAAGATTAGAGATAATGAGCAAGAATTACCTGGCACAGAATAGAGCAGACTCTTCATATTTGTCAAGGAAGCCCAGCCAGTCACCACCGAGTTGATTCTGATGCACGGTGACCCCATGTGTGTCAGGGTAGAACTGTGCTCCATTGGGTTTTCAATGGCTGATTTTTCAAAAGTAGACCACCAGGCCTTTCTTCCGTGGTGCCTCTGGATGGACTTGAACCTCCAACCATTTTTGGTTAGCAGCCGAGCATGTTAACCATTTGCACTACCCAGGGATTCCTCATAAATGACAGCTCCTATTATTTATACTTTTATGTCTATATTTCTACCGATGAGAATTTCATTGTATGGATTCAATTAAAGGGTAAGGCCTGGGAAACGCACGTTGATCTTGAAAGCATCTTTATGCAAACGGGGGAAGAGAAAAGGAAGTAAGGTCCCCTGGGGTGGCTAAGCAGGAACGTTTTCACCAGTCATTTAGCGTGTTTCTTCACCTGCTGCCAAGTAATAAATGAAAACAAAAGACGGTAAAAGGGAGCTACAGTACTTCTCTCCATTGTCTATGAGCTCCATAAAGGAGGAACTGAAAAGCTGGCAGATGTGAGTGAGTAAAGAGAGAGAAATCCTGGCAGTTATCTGAGGGACCAAAATCAGCAACACGGAGAAGTCACCTCTTAGTTAGGAAGCTAGTGACCTGCTCTGTGTGTGAGAAAACAGCCCAGGGAGAGGGACTGCGGTGGGGGACGTTGATGTTTGTGTGAACGTGTCATCTCATTCCCTGTAGGTACTGGTATGTGTGTGGAAAGCCAACATTTGCTCTCGGTTTGTAAGACAAGGTAGAGAACCAAGGCATGGCTGCCATCTTGGGCAAGGGGAGGGAGGAGGGCTCTACATGATAGCGTGAAGGGTGGGATCTTAGAGGTATAAAAAATCGTAGTTGACTGACAATTTCAGGAGGTATTGATTTTCTTTTTCTCCATTTCAATTACCTAGAGCCCTGTGGCAGGAGAGAAATGACCTGCTGGGGAAAAACCACTCAGCTTTGGAGTGGGCAGCTCTCAGGACAGAGAGGCTTCATGAGCGGAGTGTCAGTCTGCATTTGGTGGTTTACCAGCAGACTATCAATGTGGCAAAACTAGTCTGAGAACTGTCATTTCTGAGGTACTTCTTTTCTCTGTCTCCACAACAACAACGAAAACTAGCTGCCATCAAGTTGATTCTAATTCATGGTGACCCCATGTGTGTCACAGTAGAACTGAATTCCACAGGGTTTCCAATGGCTGATTGTTTTGGAAGCAGATCACCAGGCCTTTCTTCTGAGTTGCCTCTTGGTGGACTTCAACTTCCAACCTTTCAGTTAACAGTTGAGTGTGTTAACCATTTGCACTACCCAGGGACTCCCCACAGATAGTACTCTCATAAAGCATTTTGGCTAGTTAGGGTGGAAATCTCCCTTCATCCACCTGGCAATTGTCAATACTCATTAGGTGCTGTTCTTTTTTTTTTTAAATTGTACTTTAGGTGAAAGTTTACAGCTCAAGTTAGTTTCTCACACAAAAGTTTATACCCACATTGTTATGTGACCCTAGTTGCTCTCTCTATAATGTGACCGCACACTCCTCCTTTCCACCCCGGATTTCCCGTGTCCATTCAACCAGCTCCTATCCCTTTCTGTCTTCTCATCTTGCCTCCGGACAGGAGCTGCCCACTTAGTCTCGTGTATCTACTTGAACTAAGAAGCACACTCTTCACGAGTGTCATTTTATTTCTTATAGTACGGTCTATTCTTTGTCTGAAGAGTTGGCTTCGGGAATGGTTTTAATTCTGGGTTGACAGAGAGTCCGGGGGCCATGTCTTCTGGGGTTTCTCCAGTCTCAGTCAGACCATTAGGTCTGGTCTTTTGACTAGAATTTGAGTTCTGTACCTCACTTTTGTCCTGCTCCATCAGGGACTCTCTGTTGTGTTCCCTGTCAGGGGGTCATTGGTGGTATCCAGGCACCAACTAGTTCTTCTGGTCTCAGGCTGATGAAGTCTCTAGTTATGTGGCCCTTTCTGTCTCTTGGGCTAATACTTTCCATGTGTCTTTGGTGTTCTTCATTCTCCTTTGCTCCAGGTGGGTTGGGACCAGTTGATGCATCTTAGATGACCGCTCACTAGCTTTTAAGACCCCAGATGCCACTCACCAAAGTGGGATGCAGAACTTTTTCTTAATAAACTTTGTTATGCCAATTGACCTAGATGTCCCCTGAAACCAT